GGGGCGATGAACCTTAATTTATTTCTTTTTACTCCAATCTACTGCAAACTGGTCACCTGTGGGTCAACGTGACAATTGTGAGGAAAGTGGAAGTGTCATCAAAGCTTATTATAGTCTTAAATCTTCACCGTGTCATATACGTGAAATAATACTTAATCCGACATTGTGTTAAGCATTTATTGCGAATTAGCTGTTTATTTCACACATTTGAACGTGAGAATGGTACAGAGAATCACGACCCGGAAAAGGTTGGTTAATGCAATGTACTATAATTTAACAGTAAAAAAACCCACACACACACACACAAAAATACTGTTGTTATAATCAATTTTGTTTAAAATATCGGCTATCTATGAAGGTTGTATATTTTATTATTTTTAATAAAAATAATTTTTGAACACCACAATCAACTTTTTATTGAAATCTGGTCAATAAATTCTTGGTTTTGCATGCATCGATAATATTTTGTGGCCGTTTATATATGATTTCATTACCCTAAACTAAAATCAACCAAAAATTGGTTGCTATATGTTACGGATACCATGGCAACATGTCTTAAATTTTGAAAAATGCATTTTTTAAAAATGTTTAGAGTCTTATAGTTATTATTTGCGACAAAGCAAACAATTGACAATGACTGTTTCCAAAATTTGAAGGCCTGATGTCTTAAATGCATGATAAACATGTTTGGTAAATCAACTATTACATACGTTACTATGGTAACAAAGTATTCAAAAGTGAAAAATTTATTCATTGAATTTTATAAAGTCATACACGTAAAAATAAAAAAAACAATAATAGGTTGAAATGTGACCAAATTATAGAGAAAAGAGCCTTGAAACATATACTAAGGACAAATTATGATATTTCTCATTGGTTGGCAATGGTTGTCATGGTTTTTATACGACAGAGCGCCTTCAAATTTACACTCTGAATGTTTAAATCTGATCCCATCTTTTAAAAAAGCACATTCCTATATAAATGATGATCAATTTTTAAAGGTGTTGGTGTGGTCCTAAATTTCACATTATAAAAAAAATCAAGTCAAATTCTTTAATAGAGCGTTGCTATGGAAATAAGCAGAAAATATATGCTTAAAAATCTTAAAAATGTATTGTTTCCTTGGATACTTACCCTTAAATATAGATTCCCAAATTTTTTATGATTGATATTTATGAACAACTAACCTGACTTTTAATTTTGACAATCATCCAGTCTCTAACTGGATGCAAGAAGCTGGCACATAGGGTTTAATATTGATATAAAGTTTACAAAATCGAACATTTCCCCCTCTTGGTAACCATAGCAATAGTATTGTTTTCTTCATCAAATATTATCAATATATGATATTCAACTTCAGTTTAACCAGATAAGTACTATTCAAGGTGTGTCATATAATATGTTTCTTGATTAAATGGCAAGTTAATTCCTAAAGCAGCAAAAAAAATATAGATTGTTTCCATGGTTACACCGCAAAGTAGCAATTAATCCCAATTTTTCTTATCTTGTTGGTGTTGCAAGGTCCTAAGGATGCATATTTGCCAGTCTTGGATTTTCATGTTTTTCCTCAAGACAGTAGCATTAACCCCATCTTAGTACTGATTTTGCTTGGTTACACTGTGTTACCATGGCAACCATAAAAGTTTTTCATAGAATAATATTGCTTATACCTATTTACTTAAGGTCAAACAATTTCACTTTTTTCTTAAGTTGTTGATCGAGTATGATGATGTGATACATATCATTAGTGAATACTGAGCGTTCTTCAGCATATTTCAGCATTTTAAATGTATTCCAAATGTACCCTTGGTTACCACTTACTTAGAGATATATTCTAAACAGTTTCTTTACATGAGTGGCAACAAGATGTCATGTTTTTGTGAGAATGATTTGTTTGCTTTTCCTAGTTTTCATTCAGGCTCAATAAAGATTTAAAGTAGCTGAAAATCTCAATTTTTCAAATTTTTCCGGCTGTTACCATGGCAACCAAGACACATAGCAACGAAATTTTATTTGATATATGTTTCTGGTGTCAAGTACTAAGAATAGGTAAAATTTCATCAGAATCGGCGACCATGCGTGGCAAAGAAGTTTAAGTGGTTACAGAGAATGGCTATTGATTAACGAAGATTGCATTGAACTTTATATTGGGAAAATCGATTTTTTAAAATAAAAATTCAAATCATAAAAATATCAATGAATGCTGTGGTGGAAAGATGCATTAAATCACTAGAAATAAAATTACAATTTAAAGAGATTTTTGTTTACCAGATAGACTTTTTAAGTTGATTTTTAAATTAAACACAGAGAGAGAAATAATTCTTCAAGGAAAGGTCAAGGTAATAAATTAAGAAACATTCCTCTCTTACATGCTAATACATATGTTCATAATTTACTGAGTAATAATTCAATTGTGGTTGTATCAAGCCATTTGATTGAATTTTTGTTTGTTGTTGAACGTCCCTCTCGAGAATTTTTCACTCATATGGAGCCACCACCACTTGCCGGTGGAGAGCTGCAAATTTTGACCTATGCTCGGCACTGAGGGCCATTGTATGAGGCGCCTTTTGGTATTTATTGCCATTTAGTGATATCACCTATTCGAAAAGGTGATATTACTTATTCGAATAAGTAATATCACTCATTCAAATTGAATAGGTGATATCACCTATTCAAATAGGTGATATCACTTATTTGAATAGGTGATATCACCTTTTTAAATTGGTGATATCACCTATTGAAAATGAAAAGTGATATCACCTATTCGAATAGGTGATATCCCTATTCGTGCTGAATAGGTGATATCACTTATTCGAATAAGTGATATCACCTATTCGAATAGGTCATATCCAGCACCTATTCAATCTGAATTAGTGATATCACCAATTCGAATAGGTGATATCACCTATTTGTATTTCTTACAACAATAAATAATGAATGCGCCCTTCCTCAAGACTATCTAGATTCCCATTGGAACCAAGCAAATTCGGGCTGCCAAGTTTTCTCCTGTATTTTAGTCCGAGACATTTTAAATACCTAATGTTATCGATCCCTGTAAAGTTATATTAATTTTATTAATTATACCCAGCTGGGGTACAACAGAGTGGCATACCTTTCTCTCTTTATAATTTAAAGTGGGGCATTTTCTGTATGGAACATATGGAACAGTTATTATGCGTTTTTCACGATTTTTCTCATAATTTGTGAGTAAACAAACTACAAGTTCTACTGGGGTGCTTAAAACTAAATGCGAAGCTGTAATCCATTGTCTCCAAGAACGCTAAGTTATAAAACGAAAGTGAAAGTAAATGAGACTAAAGACTATAGTCTTTGGAGCAGTTGTTATTTCATAAATAATTTGAATAGGTGATATCACCTGTTCGAATAAGTGATATCACCTATTCAAAATGATAAGGTGATATCACAATTAAAATCAAATAGGTGATATCACCTATTCGAATAGGTGATATTACTTATTCAAATGGGTGATATCACCTTTTCAGAAGCTGAATAGGTGATATCACTTATTCGAATAGGTGATATCACTTTTTGGCAGTAAATACCAAAACGGCCCCTCATACCATTGAGCAGTGAGGGATCTTTTTCGTGCCAGCACCTGCGACACGGGACCTCGGTTTATACGGTCTCATCCGAAGGACCGTTCTCCACGTTCCACAATGGGATTCGAACCCGCGAAGTAAGGATCAACTCCTTACTCCGCGACTCTAGAACAGACGCTCTTACCACTGCGCAACGCGGGCGACTTATTTCATTGGATAAAAAAAAGAAAATGAATGGATAAAAAAAGTTTATAACCTGTGTTGCCTACTTCACAATGACTTACTTCAAAAACATATCAATCCGCTTGACGTAGCATTTAAAGTATGAAGAATTTTAGTTAAGGTTCCGTAAAAAAATCACTGGCCTGGGATAGAAGGCCTTATTGAAGGGAAAATTGTCTTAATATTTAATACACTCAATGACAGAAAATTAAATTATAGGGAATAAATTAAATAGCTACCCAAGTTATATACTTGTACAACCTGGTTTGGAACAGTTTAGCTTTTTAGTAAACCGCTCGCGGTTTATAATTAACCGTAAAATGCCCCAACCCAGGTTATACAGTATAACTTGGTTAGTTATTATATTCATTCCTAAATTCAATCCATACACAGCTGTTATGTATTCAATTTCATTGAATATGGGGCTATTAGAGATGGAATACCTTAAGTTAAAAAAAACAAAACTATCCTCCCATGTTTCAGAACTTCTTGGAAACTCAATGTAAAAGGACTATAAATATTCTGTAATGACCACTATCTGTCCCCCAATCAAATTTTGATGAAGAAATCTATAATTATGTTCTAAACCAGGGGGATATCCACAGACTTGAAGGCATTACCTATTTTCATCAGCCATGACGTCATATGGTAGATATGACGTATGGAAGTCGACGTAAATTCAAAATTTCAATGATTTTAAGAGAAAAAGTATAATCTACGTTGATATTTGATTAAAAGTCAACGAGTTCAGGTCTACCCCTGCTCGATCTTGTGATATAATTATGTGTAGAATTCCAACCCAGTTTACACCAGGATAACTTGGGTAGCTATTAAATTTATTCCTTATAGTTTAATTTTCCATCATTAAGTGCTAAAAATTAGACAATATCTCCTTCAAAAATGTCTTCATATCAATTTGAACATATTTCAAAAGTAACGTCGAGCTGATTGATACGTTTTTGACGTAAATCTTGTGACATAGGCAACACAGGCTATGGGATACAAACTAAATTTTATCCAATTAAATTGATTTAATTGAATTAATTGTCCAGAATTAAATTTATGATTTAATGACTCTACAGAGAAAAAGATATCGTTAAAAATTAATCGTTTCATAACCTACAAATGTTAGAGTGTTATCTGAGAAAGTTTAATCTATTTTCGTGAAGGGCCGATTTTGATCCTTCTTTGATCGTGTTCTTTAAGTACTGAATATTCCGGAACTGCTTGTTTCCGGTTTATCTTCTACTCTATTAATATGGCAGGAAGTAGCGGTCGGGTGAGAAACAAAACAAACATTTTCTCTTCTCTCGACAAATTTGCTGCGTTCTCTACTGTATAAGGAAGGATAGAAAAGAAAAGTGTACAATGTACTCTGTTCTCTATATTTCTTGTTAAATTTCACAAGCCTAGGGAAGACATTTCTCCAAAATAATTTTACGCCTACGTTAATTTTGTAAACATTCCCATCGTTAGACATTTCAAAGAAATTAAATTGCATATTATGTTTGGTAATATAGTAATTTTGCAGTTTATCCTCAAACTTATAAAAGTTTGTTTCCTGACATATGTTTTCATGTAACTACATTACACGTGCTTGGTAAGATTAGGTAAAAAATCACTATACAACATGATTGCTAAAAAATATTATACAGAAGCAGGTTAATATCAGTAATTGATTATTCTCTATAGTCCTTACAAAACATGGACATGGGGGATTCTATGGATGAGGAGACCAGACGGCTGGTCGACAAACACCAACAGAATGACCCAGCAGATGACAGTATGTAGAAAATAAATTGGAGAACTTTAGTAAGATTATAAGATTTTAACATTTAATTTGAAAGGGAAAACAGTTGTGGATTTTACACAGAGAACAGGTTATACCAATAAAGAAATTGAAATATGATTACTTGCGAAACACAACTACATGTATCTTTATCTAGAAAGTAATTTAAGTATTGTTCGAGGACATGCTTGTAAATTTATAAATTTATTTTTGTATAATTGACCAATTTCCTTTGTCCTTTGGTAGCTGTCGAGGTGGTGATTTGGATGAGGGATAGAGTTGGGATCCACGTCACCCTAGAGTGTGGGGGACATGAGGCCACAGCTGAAGACTTGTTTGAGATCGTAGTAGAGCAGAGACAGTTGCCACCAGAATCTGAAAATATTTTCTCCATCTGGCTCGTGTCTCCCCTGCTTGGTAAGATAACAATGTTGTCTTTAGTAATCTCCAAATATAGCTTTAAAGAATTCAATACAGTGGAATCATTGGTTATTATCAGGCTCTTGTTCGGTAGATTTTATAGGTATATATTGTAAAACCTAGTAGATATTTAACTCATGATAATGAACTAATTATAACACTTCTTTTTTCTTCAAATTTGACCTTTGTGATGACTGGTAATTCCTCAATGTACACCAACACAATTGTATATTATCATAAGACCCATCTTATGTAGTACAAATATCCAAACAAATATTGTGATTTTAAAGTATATGTGCAAGTATTTCTTTGTCTTATACAATAAGAATGATTGTTTTGGCGTAAGATATTTTTTTCCTTCCAGAACTAAGATTAAAAAAGAGTCACCGACCATTCCAGTTTGCCCAGTTGTGGGATGAGTTTTGTGCGTTATACACAGATGCCAAACCCGACGAAATCTCAAGAGGTATAACATTTATCATGAGAAAAAATTGAGAGCTTAATATTTAGAAAATAATTAAGGCTGGTCACAAAAGTAGTATATGTTTTATGAAATTCACAGTCTATTTTTTTTTTACTCTCCCTTTCTCTGCAGATGAACCTGTTGTGATGTTCCAGAGGAATGTATTTCTGACTCTTGAAGAAGAAATGGGGGTAAGTTGAATTGTTTTTACACACAATCCATAGATTCACATAAATAAAGTTTTTATAGGAAATTCTTTTGATATATATACGTAAAAGTGAATTGACTTGTAGATTACCAATGAAGTGGTGATGAACTTGCTGTACCATGAAGCCAAATTTAATGTGATAGAGGGTCGATATGTGTTACAAGCTGAGGAATACGACCAGTTGGCAGGAATTCAGGCACTGATTCATCTGGAGCGTTATGATCCTGAAAAACACACACTTGAACACTACAAGTAAGTAGATTTTTTTCTGATAAAATGATATACATGTAATTCATTTCAATGAAATACTTGTTTATGATGTAATGAATATTGTACGTTAGTTGTTCATATTTAGTAGAAGATATATTTTGGCACAATTCATTGTGTTTTAATTCATGAAATAGCTAAAATATTGAACATACTGTATACAGGGTAATTTTGCCCTGTGTTGTTTTTGCCCTTTCACACATGCAGACAATTTTCCCCCATTTTTAATTCACCAAGACACAGTTGTGTTAAAGAGATATTACTGTTTATTTTGAATTACCCCATTTTAAATTTGCCCACTTGTGATGAGGGTGAAGGGGTAAAAACGAAACAGGTGCAAAAATTTCCTTGTATAAATGTACCTGGTACATGTAAAGTTATGTAGAATGTAGTACATTAATTCTAAAGGAATGCTTTATGTTTTTGCCAAGTAGTCCTTGACCGATGTTTATGCTAAATTTCAAGTATATTATATAATCAGTACACACAGATGTTATTAGGCTCAAACATTGATATGTTAATGATTTTAACAGAGAAGAGCTTCATAAGTTCTATCCAGCACACATGCGCAAACCAAAGAATACCAAATTTTTCAAGTTCAGCAAAAACAAGGATGAGGAAGAGGAAGCATTGGAAGTCCGAGTCCAGCGAGCACATCGACAGATCAGTGATGCATACAAAAACACCGACATAAAGACAGCACTTGGTGACTTGTACAGGAAATACTTAGAGGTCTGCTGGCAGTATGCTTTCTATGGGTAAGTTTCTATACTGATCTAAATCTTATGAGATACAGTTGAACTTCAGTATCTCCAACATTGATATCTCGAATACCATTGATATGTTTAAGTGAGTTGAAAGTCCCAACCACTTTTCCTTATTGTCTTGGTATTCGAGAAATCAATGTTATATAACTTCTTAGATATCTAAGTTTTCTTTCAGCTCCAGTCGAGTTTGAGATCACAAAGTTTTACTGTAACTAGGTTTAACTGATGATGGTCAAACTCCTTCAAAATTTTCATTTTTATATTAATATCTGTGTAAGCATCAGATTATAACTGTATGTTGATATGTTTATTTGCAGAAGTGCATTTTTTGAGGGGAAGGTTCAGAAGCAGATAGGAAAGATCAAGGGCCACCTTCCAGGTGTGGACAAAGACATGGACGTCTTGATCGCTCTGAACACAGATGGGATCTGTATCATAGATCAACTGAGAGAGGTAGGGCTCAAAACTAGTTTTTAAGCCTATGCTAAAATTTGAAATTTAAGGTTTTTTTGGGTAACCTGAGTTGTTTATTTTATTTAAAACATATGAATACAAATTTTAATGTTAGCATTTATTATGGATTTTCATTTTCATTCCACAAAAAAGAATGTATTTATAAGATCTCGGTTACATTGTAACAGTGATAAATTTAGCATGTTGAAGTTGTTTTCTAAACTTATGATTGTGTTAAATTTTTGTTGTTTATTTGTAGGAACCAGTGCTGGCTGTGCCATATGAAAATCTTTCCTGGTTTCTGGACACCAATGAAGAGGACGACAACAGAATGGCTGTACTTCTACTCCAGTTCCTGGTTGACGCTGAGAATGGAGAACGAATCACTAAAGTTCTACAGGTGTTCTCCAGCCAGGTAAAATTTTTCCCATGTTCTTCGGCAAAGTAGATTACTTCAGGTGTGCTCCAGCCAGGTAAACTACTACAGGTGTTTAGTAATCAGGTAAAATTTTACAGGTGTTCTCCAGCTAGGTTAATTACTACAGGTGTTTAGTAATCAGGTAAAATTTTACAGGTGTTCTCCAGCTAGGTTAATTACTACAGGTGTTTAGTAATCAGGTAAAATTTTACAGGTGTTCTCCAGCTAGGTTAATTACTACAGGTGTTTAGTAATCAGGTAAAATTTTACAGGTGTTCTCCAGCTAGGTTAATTACTACAGGTGTTTAGTAATCAGGTAAAATTTTACAGGTGTTCTCCAGCTAGGTTAATTACTACAGGTATTCTCAAAGCAGATGAATTACTTCCACCTAGGTAAATTACCGCAGGTGTCTCCTGCCAGGTAAATTATTACAGGTGTTTTCCACCTTAGGTTAAATACTATTGGTGTTCTGCAGCTAGGTAAATTATTATAGGTTAGTGATGGGAATCATTAAGAATTTCATAATCGATGATCGAGCTACTGTAACTAACTAATTATCAATCATAATCGGACATTTACAAAGTCTGTCAATTTAGTTTATTCAATGGTAATAATGGGTGAATAACTACTTTCTATGGTGGTCCAGCTGGTTCATTTTTGTTGAATCCAAATATGTCCATACCCGGGAATGATCATTGTTACCCAGGTATGAATACAATTGTCTGTTCATCTGTGCCATTTTGATACACAAATAAGTTCATAAATAAAAATTTTAAAAAAATTTTTAATTGAAAAAAAAAAACGATTAATTGGAATGAAAATTTTGTAATTCAGTGCTTGGATTATGCCAGATATTGATTGATTTTCGATTATAATCGATGATTGGACACCACTTTTATAGGCTTTCTCAAACCAATAAATTTACCTCAGGTGTATTCCAGCTAGGTAAATACTATACAATTATTGCTGGGTTTTTTTGGTCAATACGATGATTTAGACAAGTGAGGAGTACAATATTCACCGAGCCTGAAGGGCGAGGTGAATATTGTACTTCGAAGATGACTAAATCATTGTATTGACCAAAAAAAACAGCAATAATTGTTTTATTATATGATTCAGTGATTAAAAGACACACACACTCATTAAGCAACAAATGCCATCTTACTTGTTCACATCTACTGAAGTACTAGCCAAACATAATGAGAGAAACGAGGTTAAAAAAAACCAGTTGTATTATTTTGAAATTTTTAATTCTAGTTTAGGTGCAGTGTAGAAAAAATAAATGTCAGGCACATATATATGATTAATTTTGAAAAAGGGGGCATAAATTAAAAGGAAAAAATGACAACTTACATGAAAACAAATCTTTGACTAACCCCCTCCCCCCCCCCCCCCCCCAAAGGAAAAGAATTCTCCAAACTCAAAATTTTATTTGGTGGGATGTAAAGGTCCATAAATGAGGGGAGGGGGGCTTTCATTGAAATTTTTTATCCTTAAAATTTAAATTAAAACTTTACATTCTCAAAAAATGGGGAGAGGGGCAGGCCTCCTGATACCCCCACCAACCCCCCAACCCCCCCACCCCTCACCCAAGAATCTATGTGCCTTAATGTTATGTTCATATGAGTGGAAGTCAGGTGCAAGTGAAATAACTTTTCAAAACTATTTGCATCAATTTTTAATTTTCCTATCTATTTTTGGTCCAATGTAGAATAAATAATTCCTTATATTGACCCGGAAGGTCACGTGCAGGTCAATATAACGTAGTATTTTTCTATCATTGTTGGATCTCAGCCAATCAGAGAGATGGGAATTATTCAATCATGTTATAAAATGTACTAGGGTGTTCATCAGCCAGGTAAATTACTACAGATGTTTTCATCTATGTCATTATCAACTACAGACTTTGTGTCATGTAAATGAAAGTATTGCAAGGTTGTGTATAATTATACAGATATACAGTATATACAGATATACAGTCAGTGAATTTGTCAAAAAATTGCAACATCTGGTATTGAAGGATGTAGGAAAGTGATATAGATATTATCAGAATCATTATTAATAAGATAAGAATCCTTGGATAGTGTAGATATTTCCAGAATCATTATTAATAAGATAAGAATACTTGGATAGTGTGTTGAATTTTTGTAGGCAAAGATGATGGATGCTCTGATTGATTCTTGTGTAAAGAGGAAACTCCAACAGAAAGATCATGGACACGGCAAGGATCGAGAAGAGAGTGCCATGGATGGATCTCGGAGGCAATACAGGAATGGTAATGTAGCTGGTATTGATGAATGTATTGAGGGGAATTTGAGTTGATGTGGTGGGGTTTTGATTGGGAGGGTATGATAAGAGCTTAACATTGCTCTTGTTTAATGTAAAAATGAAAACGTAGCCAAAATTGTTAATATAGTATTAAAAGAAAGATGAAATTTTTGAAAAATGCCCAAATTTTCTCATTTTTAATAAATTTTCTTTAAATTTTAGAAACATAATGCTTTCAAAAATTTACATCATAACCAATCTGTTTTTGATTTTGACAAATTATATAATGTGTCTAACACTATTGCATAATGTATATAGATTTAGCTTATAGGCTAGCAAGTGTTTTATGTTTTCTGAAGCAAACTGTATTTGAAAATTGACCCCCCCCCAAAAAAAAAAGGAATATTAAAATTAAGCATCATACCTTCCTGTGATCTTTGGAGTGCTGTCACTCATAATCAATTCCAGTAAGGGCATAGATTAAAGGGGTCTGATGATGAACTATTGCATTGTTCTGTGTGTATCCTTCAATGGGACCTACCATCTGCTTTGTTCTTTCTTAGGAGACACAGTTATTTGTGTGACTGAAGGCAGTTGTTCATACACAGTCTATAGGTACTTGATGAAGGCTCAAATAAATTGTCTTTAACTAAGTTCTGTGTGAGCATATGTAATTATTGTTTGGCATCTGTCTTTACTTTTTATGCCCCCATAAATCAAAGATTAAGATTTTCCAAAAATCAAAGATTTCAGGGGCATATAGTTTTTGCCCTGTCCATTCGTCTGTCTTTCTGTCTGTCTGATTGTCCGCAAAAAATTAACCTTGAGGCCAAAATAAAAAATACCTTTGTTTCCCCTAACGCGACCGACCCACTTAAATCGTGCTGACTGAAAAGTTTTTTTTAATAAGATTATTCAAACATTTTTAGCTCACCTGAGCCGAAGGCTTAAGTGATCTTTTCTGATCAAAATTTGTCCGTTTTCTGTCGTCGTCGTAGGCGTTGTTGTCGTTGTCGTTGTCGTTGTAAACTTTCAATTTCATCTTCTTCTCCAAAACTACTGGGCCAATTTCAACCAAACTTGGCACAGAGTATCCTTGGGTGAAGGGGGTTCAAGTTTGTTCAAATGAAGGGCCACACCTTCTTCCAAGGGGAGATAATCATGAATTCATGAAAAATTAATGGCATCATTTAAAAATCTTCTTCTCAAGAACCACTGTGCTTGAAAATATGAAACTTATATGGAAGCATCCTCAGGTAGTGTAGATTCAAGTTTGTTCAAATCATGACCCCCGGGGGTAGGGTGGGGCCACAATGGGCAATCAAAGTTTTACATAGGAATATATATGAAAATTCTTTAAAAATCTTCTTCTCAAGAACAGCAAAGCCATGATTGGTCATATTTATATGGAAGCATCCTCAGATAGTGTAGATTCAAGTTTGTTCAAATCATGACCCCTGGGGGTAGGGTGGGGCCACAATGGGCGATCAAAGTTTTACATAGGAATATATAGGAAAACTCTTTAAAAATCTTCTTCTCAAGAACAGCAAAACCATGATTGATCATATTTATATGGAAGCATCCTCAGGTAGTGTAGATTCAAATTTGTTCAAATCATGACCCCCAGGGGTAGGGTGGGGCCACAATGGGCAATCAAAGTTTTACATAGGAATATATAGGAAAACTCTTTAAAAATCTTCTTCTCAAGAACAGCAAAACCATGATTGATCATATTTATATGGAAGCATCCTCAGGTAGTGTAGATTCAAATTTGTTCAAATCATGACCCCCAGGGGTAGGGTGGGGCCACAATGGGCGATCAAAGTTTTACATAGGAATATATAGGAAAACTCTTTAAAAACTTCTTCTCAAGAACAACAAAGCCATGAATGGTTATATTTATATGGAAGCATCCTCAGGTAGTGTAGATTCAAGTTTGTTCCAATCATGAGCCCCGGGGGTAGGGTGGAGCCACAATGGGCGATCCAAATTTTGAATAAGAATACATAGGAAAAATCTGTAAAAATCTTTTTCACAAGAACAACAAAGCCATGATTGGTCATATTTACATGGAAGCATCCTCAAGTAGTGCAGGTTCAAGTTTGTTCCAATCATGACCCCCCGGGGTAAGGTGGAGCCACAATGGGTGATCAAAGTTTTACATAAAATACATAGGAAAAATTTGTAAAAATCTTTTTCTCAAGAACAGCAAAGCCATGATTGGTTTTTTTTAATGGGTGCATCCTCAGGAAGTGTAGATTCAAGTTTGTTTAAATCATGACCCCCCAGGGGTAGGGTGGGGCCACAGTGGGCGATCGAAGTTTTACATAGGAATACATAGGAAAAAGCAAGCCTTTTAAAATCTTCTTCTGAAGAACAGCAAAGCAATAATTAGTCATATTTAAATGCAAGCTTCCTTAGGTAATGTAGATTCAAATTTTGTTCAAATCATGACCCCTCCAGGAGAATAGAGGGGCCATAACAGGGGATCATAGTTATACAAAGGAATACAGATGATATATCAATAAAAATTGTCTTCCTAAGAACAGCATAGCCATTATTTGTCATATTAATTCAAAAGCATCCCTTTGAAGTATAGATTCAAGTTCAAATTTAACCCCCCCCCCCCCCCCCCTCGAACCACTTTTATATCAAAACTTTTCAAGACTCAACTGATTTCTGCTTTTTCCTAGCCAGAGTGCTCAGGTGAGCGATGTGGCCCCTGGGCCTCTTGTTTTTATTGTTTATCAACTTTATAAAAAACAATTTCATCAGAATCAGTTTTTTTATCAGAACTTCGGCTTTTGTTTTACTCTCATTTGGCGCCTACAACATGTGGTCACAGAGGAGTTATAAAACAACAGCAATGTATCAATCATACATATATTTCTTCAACTTATTAGAATCCTACACTCTTGAAACACTTCGGAGTGTTACAAATGTGTTTTCTAAAATTAACGTACTTAGTAAGCTTGGCAAAGCTTGCCTCATGAGTAGATGAGGGGCCCACCTTGTGTATGCTTATCAGTAAATTTCACTGCATTTCATTCGTTTCAATGTAATAAACACTTCATGTATGATTGAGTTCTATTTTTTACTATATAGGACCATAAGAGTTTGTATGATTATTTCATCTTGATAAATATAATTCAGATGTGGTGTCTTCATTCCTTTAATTTATGGGGTAAACTTCGTGAGTATAACATTAGATACATGAAACTTTAATTGGTTTGGTTGAATTAAATATTATTAATACAGGTACACTTTTTCCAAATAGTGTTGAAATCTTTAAAATTGGCGTATGGTACGGCTTCCTGAGACGTCCAGTGTATTTTTCTTTAGTTAGACCCTTGAAAATAGGTTGTTTTTTTCTTTAAAATAACTTTAAAAATTGTTGGGTCGACAACATTTGAACATCTGCCTGGTGTAGGGCTCCTAATTTAGACTTTTTCTCGGCACTTATGGCCATTGATCATAAAGCATCAGTAAGGGATCTTTTTCTTACCAAAATCTACATGTATACTGCAACACTGCATGGACCTAAGTTTTTTACAGTCTCATTCGACTGACCAGTCTCCACGTCCCACGTTGGGACCTGCATGTGACTTAGAATAAGCTCCTGAATTACGTCGTGACTCCAAAACGAAACACTAGAATTACTGCGTCACACGAGGCCCTTGACATTTTGTCTGTGTAAGCACTCGAAGATGATAGTAGGTTTGAAAAAATATACTCGGAAGGCCGATGGTTGAGCATTTACGAATCTTGTCTTTTTTTAAAATTCGATTTCAATAATAATACACTGGCCTGAGATATTTCACAAGTTCAAATGAATAATATTTGTGAATTAATTTACCATACATGTTGCTTTTGAATTTCATTTGTATGATATTCGGTTTAAAAATCGGGTTCTTTTGTTCTTTCTTATTTATAAAGATGTTAATCAATTTTTCAGAACGTATTTTCAAAACTGCTGTCAGACTAGAAAAAAAAATAATGTACCTACCTACCTACCCAACTTGAAATTTTAAGGTCTGGTTAGGGGAAACAAAGATATTTTTATTGATGGCCTGACCATACCTTTTGATTGGTTGGAGCTATGGCTTTGATATTTCACATGTGTACTCCTTGTGACAAGACCTTTCTTTGGATACCATCATAATTGACCTTGGGAGTTTGACCCAGCTTTGCAAAATTTTTCCCAACTATAATCTTGGCCATAACTTGTGAACAGTTGGTTCTAGGGCTTTCATACTTCACATGTGTAATCCTTGTGACAAGACCTTCCTTTTGGATATCAACAACTTTGACCTAGGAGTTTGACCTACTTTTGAAAAACTTTAACCTTGGCCTTTACTTTTTAACGGCGGGTGCTAGGACTTTCATACTTCACGTATGTAATCCTTGTGACAAGACCTCCCTTGGATACCAGAAAACTTTGACCCTTTGGCCTTGACCTTGGAGTTTGACCTACTTTTGGAAAACTTTAACCCTGGCCATTACTTTCAATACCAACAACTTTGTCCCGGTGACCTTTGAGTTTAACCTACTTTTGAAAGACTTGAACCTTGGCCATAACATTTGAATGGTTGGTGCTAGGGCTTTCATATTTCACATGTATATTTCTTGTCAGAAGGCCTTTCCTTGGGTACCATTAATTTTGACCATTTGACATTGACCTTGATGTTTGACTTACATTTGGAAAACTTTAACCTTGGCCAGTACTTTTGAACAGCTGGTTCTAGGGCTTTCATACTTCACATATGTAATTCTTGTGACAAGACCTTTCTTTGAATACCAACAACTTTGACCCATTGGTCTTGACCTTGGAGTTTGACCTACTTTTGGAAAACTTTAACCTTAGTCATTACTTTTGAACAGTTGGTGCTAGGGCTTTCATACTTCACATGTATATTAATTGTGACAAGACCTTCCTTTGGATACCAAAAATTGTAGCCCATTGACCTTGATATTGGAGTTTGACCTACTTTTGGAAAACTTATCCTTGGCCATAACATATCAGTGGTTGCT